ACCATAGCTGGCTAAGCCTGAGACAACCAAGCAGTTTAGGTCCCTCTGTACAGCTTGTCTATGTGACCTTGGACAAATCTGTTAATTTGGGGAAGTCTGTTTCTTCATCTACATATATATCCCTTACAGAGTTTCTTTGAACACAATAATTCATGTTGACAATCTAGGTAAATATAACAGCATAATAAACACTGAAGAAATTTGGAGTATTTTATTGTTAATTTATATTACCACCGCTTCCTGAATGTAATGTTAAGCATTTTATGTTCTTTATTTTTCAATAGCTCTTTAAGGCAGGTATTAGATCTCCATTTTCCCAAGGAAAACAGACTCAGAGGGGTTAAAGACCTTGTCTGACTTCATACATCTAATAGACTGCAAAGTCAGGATTTGAACTCAAGTCTAACTTCAAAGCTCATTTGCTTTCTACCAAACTCAGTATTTTAAATTCCGTTCCTATATTTGGATAGCATGATATGACAGTGATATGATTGTCAGTGACTATAAGGTTAGTGTAGCTGGTGGTGGTGTCCACTGAGTAAGCAGCAGACCTAGAACTGACTGCCTGCAGAGACCAACCCTGACCACTGTCCTGCTTGACTTAAGGAAAGACAGTAGCCCAATGTTTATGGGTCTGTTAATTCCACTCATAGGAAACTTGAAATTGGGAATACTTGGAAGGGTTCCCCAGAGTTATATTTTTATTTTATAATTTTATTCTCCAGTGACTCTCAGAAGGCTCCCAGTTTCCTTAGCTTTTATGTGTAAGGCATTCCTGATTAAGTTGGAATCAGCTTGTAAGTTGGACAGTATGAACAGGACACTTAGAGCACAGAATAAATCTCCCCTCATTGTGTTAATTTGGAAAGTCTCTGTGAAATGAGTAGATTGTTCCTGCCACATGGTAGAGTTTGTAGATTACATGAGCTAATGCTTCCGCAGTTCAGCAGGGTCCTTTGTACAGTGATTCTTCCTGACAGCCCCCAAAAAACTGCATTCGAGTCTCTAAAAGTCATTTCTTCTAAGTGCAGGAGAATTGCTGTATAATTCAGTTTCTCATCAGAATTCCAACTTGAACTTTTGACACTGAGACAAACCCTTGACATAGTCAGAAATGGCTGGAAAATCAACTTGCATGTATTGAAATTTCAGAGTTAAATGGGCAACAGCCATTTGCACAATGATTTCCCACATTTTGTTTCTTAAGACAGTTTTGCTTTTATCCCAGACCTTGAACTCACTGTGTATCCCAGCCTATCCTTAAACTTGTAGCAATCCTCCTGCCTTAACCTCCTGAGTACTTGGATTGTAGTCCTGCACCATCATGCCCAATCCCAAATGTTTATATCAAGTTGGTCTCATTTACAATGGTGACTATGTGTTTATGAAAACACATGTAATAATAATGTGATAGTACTGTGCCTGCCACTTTGAATTTTGTAACATGCTCTCACATACATTATTGCATTTGATCCAGAGAACATCCTTTCAAAGTTTTTCAGAAGCCTGTGCCTGGCTCACAGGCTTATATAATTTGCTCAAGGTCACAGACCTGAAAAAAAGACTGAAAAAAGATCTGTCTGACCCCAAAATTTATCATCTTAAAAAAATTTTGTCCTTGTCCTGATAACACCCAGAGAACTGACCTTTGGGCCTATACCATGGTGAAAATCCTTGTAGAGCTGATTCTATTCTATTTGGATAACTTCTCTTTTGGAGGAAACGGCCAGTGAGCAGTGTGAAGTTTTCCCCCATGTGCTCCCTTATCGCTTCTTGCTGTCTTCTTTATAAATATTGTTTTGGGAGCAATTTTCCATGCATCTGACCAAAGCTATGGGCCTTTCTCAACATTTATTTTTGTGTCTTCAACATTTGCTACAGTTCTTACAAAGAGTAGATGTTCCCATGATTATTGACAGCTTAAGTTAAAATGCACATCCATTGTCTTTTACCATTACAGTGGGATAAATGAGAACTTCCTGTAACTTATTAGGAAGAAAGATAGTTTTAGATGCTAGAGGAAAAGGACCTGGCCTGTTCTTAACTCCGGATTCACCTCCAGGTGCTCTTATCTTACAAGGGATTAACGAAGGTGCCATACTTTGGACCAGAGGCAGAAGGGTGCTAAGAGACACCAGTACTCGCTGGAATCTATACTCATAGGACTGGGGGTGGGAGGATAGCTTCTATACGAAGTTTGGCTGGGGATGATGAGCTTTTTGAACAGCTGTTACTGTCCTAGGGTCCTTACTCTTAGTCACTGTCTCATCTAACTGCATGGCAGGTCAGGAGGTGGCTCATATGAAATGGTCTTCCTGCTTCTTGAACTGAGTTGACCTATAGCTTAGGAATGAATCATGTGAAACACCCAACCCAGAACTCGGTGGGCACAAACACACACTGAGGAACCATCTAAAAATGTCAATGATAGCACCAGATGTGATGGTTCACACCTTGAATCCCTTCCATTAGGAGGCAGAAGCAGGAGGATCTCTGTGAGATCAAGGCCAATCTGGTCCACACAGTGACTTCCAGGTGGGCTGGGACCAGGAAGACCCTGTCAAAATAATAATTATAATAATAGTAATAATAATAATGTCTATGATAGTGCTCAATTGAGATGTCACCCCAGTGTGGCCACAGCTCAGCATGATTGGAGAACAAAGTTCAGGGAAAGCTTCTTAGAGAGTTGGTCCTTGGGCTCAGCAAAAGCCACAGCCTTCTAATGTAGAGGCGCCAGTGAGACTGCAGAAGTGGGCAGCACCAGTCAGCTATTAGTAAGGCTTCTGACTGCTCTGAAGATTTTTTTCTCCTTTTGCTTTAAGTTTCCTTTTCTTACCTCTTGCCTCTTGCCCCAATTGATCTCAGCTGTGTATAGTGATTCAGTTTATCTTGTTTAAATTTTGAGTCCCCTAAGGAAAATATAATGCTGCTTTCAGACACCTGTGTTTGAGAGCAAGCCTGCCTTAACCAGCTGGCTGGCATCATCAGAGCCCAAGGACCTGCCAAACTAGAGAGAGCAGCTGTTTTAGCTGAAATTCTTATAATTCTTATGACTTTGCTTTCTATATATCAGCTTTTGAGTGTGGCTTTAAAAATGCTCATGTAAAGAAAAGGACCAGGGGAAAGACTGTGGGGTACACACAGGTAAAGGAGTGGAGTCAGCCATCACCGTCATCCTGTGACTTGTGACTGCTGGAAAGAGACTATCCAGGAGGCTAATGTTATAGTGTAAGAAGCAATAATGAATGGATCAGTAGATTTTAATACCTCAGGAAAGTGGAGGGGTTATATAACCCCTTATGAACCATGATTGAAGATTTTTTTTTATTGAAGAGAGAATGCTGCAGTAGAATGTTAGATGAGATGTATAGGATATAAAACTGTTGAAGAATATAATCTCAATTATGGGGAAATATGTATGTTTAGCATTGAATGAGAATTCATACAAATACTTACTAAATCACAGCTACTGGAATGTAAATTCCCTAGCCACAGGGAACATACTTGTTTCATTCTCTGTTATACCCTGAGTGCCTCTGCAAAGTATTTTCAAAAGAATTTTGCTGATTGGATGAATGAGTGCATATTATCATATGCATTTACAAAGGAATCTGGAGAGGAAAAAACATGTTATCTTCTGTAATTATATCTATAGATGTGACAGCCTCATTTCTCTATGCTTTGGTTCTTTATGAAATTCTGGGGACATTAGCTGTCATGCAGAGTTGCTGAGAACTGAGTAAAGTCCTTGTGAAGCAGAGTGCCATGACTAGCACCCAGGGAGTCACAAGTGGCAGATTCTTAGCTGTGGTAAGCACCATGTACGTGTTGGCCATTGTCATTAGTAAATTCTGTCAAACTTTTATCTGTAGTAAGAGCTTTTTGTCTTACTTTTTTCTTTGTGGGTTGAGTTTGAAATGTCCCCCATAGGTTCATGTGTTGTTTGGAGATTTTGGGAGGTAGGGCATAGATGGAAGAAGTGGGTCACTGGGGGCCATCTTAGGGACTGTAGTGAGGCCCACCAATCTCTGCCTTGATTTTCTGATCCACTAAGATCTGAGCAAGCAGCCTCATGCTTGTGCTGCCACAGCTGTGAACTACTTCCCACCACCATGGCTTCTTCTCTGTTATAGACTGTACCCACAAACCATGAGCCAAAATAAATCTTTCTTTCCCTTAATTTGCTTCTTGTCTGATATGTTGTCACAACAGTTAGAAAAGTAATTACTGCATATGGTCTTAAATAATAATAACCCCAAAGAAAAAAGCATATGAAGACACAAAACCTAAATGCTAACAGTGATTATCTCCAAGTAATAGAACTGGAAGAGTTTCTGTTTTCTTCTTTGGACTTTTCTAAGTGTGTGTTTGGGGGGGGGGATGTTGTATCCTTTTATCAGAACTATCCCTGCCTCCATCCTTTGAATTAAGAAAAAGAAAGTATCCTCGCAGGTAGCACAGAGCTGTTGAACTACAAAGCTCCCTCTGAGGACAGTTAGTGAGGAGGGAAAAGGTGTCCTTTTCTGGGTCAGTTTTTTAAGTATGTCTGAGATAAAGTTATGGTCTAAGATAAAGTTGTGAAGCAGTTGTGAAGAACTGGGGAAAAGACCCAATGAAGAAAGGAAAGAAGTTTGGATCAGTTGGTTCTGGTCAAAGGTAGTCAAAAACTTTACTATTAGTAGACAGTAGCTTAGATTTATCTTTATAGCTTACTATTCCCTCTGCATAGGTCAATGAGGAGATCCATGAAAATTATGATGGAGGGATTAAAAATAGAAGTGAATAATTACTAAACTCTAGGATCAGCTTCTGAAGATAACATCCAATGCTGGTTTCTAGAAATGTCTCAGTGGAGGCCTCATAAATGTTGGCGGTCTTTCCCATCTTTTCTTCTTGATTCTAAGTCCACATCAAACTTCTGATTGTAATGATTCAGGCCTGTGCTTTGTTCCTAGTTCACAGAACTTCATAACCTTTTTGTGACCATTGATTTGCAGATATTTAACACCATGCCTGATATGCCTCTCACCAACGCGCAGCTACACCTGTCCCGAAAGAAAAGCAGTGACTCCAAGCCCCCATCCTGCAGTGAGAGGCCCCTGACGCTCTTCCACACTGCACAGTCAACAGAGAAACGTGAGTCTGCTGCCCAGTGCCATGGTGTGTAGGAATATCTGTGCTGCTTCCATAGCTTGGTGTGGGTACCTCCTGTGTGCTGCTGGCCTTTGGTGTCCTTTTGTGTCCTGCCCAGTACCATTATGATAGTACAGAAAGCAGAATTGCTGAGAAGCAAAGAAACAGGCTACTGCTGAGGATTCTCTCCTTCGATCTCTAGGCAAGAACCTGAACCTCTTTTCTCTGCAGCACAGCAAGAGCTTGGTTCTGGTACTGCCTGGAGGTACACTTTTTGTTAGCATCTCCCATAGGAAGGTACCTTCCCCTTTACTAAGTGATTATTAGAGGGAGTCACATGTTCTAGAACATGCCTCTGGGAAGCAGAACCTCCTTCTGCTTGACCTTTTACTCTTCTCTGTGTTTGGCATGGAGTTAACACTTAAAACTATTTACTGAATTAGAGAAGAATTTATGTTGCAAAGAACAGAGAATTAATCACCATAAATGTATTTCTTATCTCAGGAATTCCAAGTTCTTTGCACTGATTAAGTGTGGGGCCCTAAAATATACAGTCATATTTCAGCTTTTGCAATAAAAAAAAACTTGGGATGCAGACACAGGGAAGATCATTGTAAGTCTCAGGCCAGCCTGGTCTACATAGTGAGTTCTAGACTAGCGAAGGCTGCAAAGAAGAAAGCTGTCTCAGAAAAGGACAAATAAAAAATAAATGGGCTTATATAGTATAGGAGTAAAGGCCTCATGTTCTGCTGAAGGTCAATCAGACATTCATTCTTATGCCAGCATCACCATAGAAGCAAAAGTTTACCTCTCTTAGTTTGCTCATCTATAAAGCAGCCATGATAGTGCCCACCTCAGTGGGTGGACATGAGGATTAATGAAATTATGATTATAGCACCTGGCACAAGACTTAGAACCTGACAGGGCTAAAATCTGGGAGCTGCTACTCCCTTTATTGTTATTGTCTAATCACACAGACACGAAGGCTGCTTTCAACATGCAGCTGACATTTACTTGGTGCCTGCAGGGAAAAAGGAAGGCAAAAATGGGGCCTTGTCTTTAAGGAGCTCAGACTTGAGTGAAGAAGGCATAGCAGTGACTTATAACTCATCTCCTGGAGAAATGTATTTAAGGGAGGCCATAGAATGTTCTGGAGAAAAACATGTGATGTGGCTACAGGCTCTACTCTAGTAGAGGCATAGAGAGATAGTGACCTACTTTACCTTAGAGAGGAAAGGATCCATATCTTCATATTCATTCTCTCTCTCTCTCTCTCTCTCTCTCTCTCTCTCTCTCTCACACACACACACACACACACACACACCACACACACACTCTCACACAAGCAATCTTATATATTTTTATATTAGAG